GATTATAGATTTACCTTTTCAGAGATCTTAAATCGACAGGAGTTTTAGTCAGCCGTCCTAAATGACTTATCATCAATGAAGTCAATCAGTTATTATCCAAGTGGCACATGTGACATATACCTGTAAACCAAAGTTGCCAGATTGCATTTCAGTAATAATTCATAAAGTCGATAAAATAAGTAGTAAGGATATCAAAACAACTTAATTATGATACTTAAAAAAAATGACTATAATTTACGGAAAATAGAAAGAAAAACTTTGTATTTATATGTTGGAGATTGAGTAAACAAGGAAAATGTCTATGTATGTCTATGTCAAGTAAAAACAACCCTCCTCTAATCTAACCCCTTGCTTATTATCTTTTTAGTTTCATTTTAACAAAAGTAACATACTACTGACAAAACGCTACGAGAAGTAGTTATTTATTTGTATGTTCAAAAAAATGCATATATATATATAATGGGATCATAAACAGTGACATGTTTATATCAATAAACTTAACGTTAGACTTTAGATGATTTAGGTAACATTGATTTCCTTATGAAGGATGGTACATACATAGCTTACAAAACATTAAAAGTATTTATGATATTTATTTGGTTTTAAAGTTAACATCAGTGAAGCATTTTTAACCATACAGATAATGCATTAAGCTTTAATATTTATATAAGATACATTTATTTGATTATTTGAGGGAGAGAAATACTTGAGAATCGATTCATCCATTTCAAGTATATGTATATATAAAATAAAGCAGTTTTAATAGGTTTGTTTAATCGAAAAGAGAATTAACAGTACAAATAACTTCATTTGAATGAAAAAGTAGCAACTTTGGTGCGCGCTACTTATAAGTAGTATATGACGCGAGTGAAAACGTAATGTCTGGAAGCAGAAGATGGGGGGAAGATCAAGAGGAAGGAAGAGTGGGGGAACACAATGGAATTTGTATGAAACGCATGAACAGTGATGAAATGTCAGACAATGGATTGATGATGCATTAAAGATTTGCAAATTAACGATTTACACGATATGGTTTTCCTATTTTACTGAGTAACTCTGTAATTTACGATAAACACAATTCGGTTGCCCTCACCTGTGTTCTCCTTCACTACACAACTAGTAAATACTTGAAAGTCTGTTCTACCCCAACACAGCGGGGAAGCTTTGTTTATTTACATGTTTAGTCAAACAGTAGGAAAGTTTAAAAACTAGTCACAGCACTCCAATCACTGATCACCGAAAACTTATAATAATAATAATAATAATAATAATAATATATACTTAGTTTGATATTATAAATTACAATGTTATTTAAATCTGAACAGAAAAAATATAGTCATTCATATGATTTATTTTCAAAATTAAAAAAAGTATATTAGTTTAAATTGAACATCAAACAGAAAATATTCACATGAAATGATAGGAAAAAATATCTAGATATATAGTTATTATCAGTAGAAATTTGAGAAGAACAATATGTATGGATATATGTTTATGATTTCACTAGTAGTATGATTATATTTTTAGTCATTTTTAAAAAAAATTATTACTAATTTTTATTTTTGCCATTCGGATTAAAAACACAGTAAAAAGGGATTTTCAAAGAGTGAGAGAGGTACAGAGAGAGAGAGAGAGAGCGAGAATTAAATGTCAACAAAGAGATTAGATTACAGGTAACTATTGACAACATTGAATTTTGAAAATAAAAAATATTGGTTAATCTTTATACTATTATTATTATTATTAACATTATTACTGATATTGTAGTGAGCGAGAACACAGGTGAGGGCAACCGGATTGTATTTAACGAAAATTACAGAGTTACTCAGTAAAATAGGAAAACCATATCGTGTAAATCGTTAATTTGCAAAATATCATTTCATCATATCGAACTGTACTGTTCCTGTTGCGAACAACATCAATCCATTGTCACTACTATTCATGCGTTTCATACAAATTCCATTTGTGTTCTAAAACTCTTCCTTTCTTGATCTTCCCCCATCTTCTGCTGCCAGACATTACGTTGACACTCACGTCATATATACTACTTATAAGTAGCTCGCACCACAATATTATCTATGGTACTTGAACAATATTAAAACCCAACTACATGAAAGTGTATATAAACATGTTTTGCTGTTGTTGTTGTTGTTGTAGTTGAATTATTCCAAAGAAAACTATTTTAAAATTGTTAAATAATAATTTTTTCAATAATTAGAAATAATTTTAATAGGAAAAAAATGTATATATATATATACACAAGATGTTTTTAATGTGACAATATGTATGAAAATGAGAAAGTCAGTGTAGAGTAATAATATCTAGTCATTTGTATTTTAATAATTAAACCATTTTTTTTTATTAAGATAATTTATATTATTGTAGTTGTCAGATTGAAATGATAACAGTATATATATCAATGGCTGTTGAAATCTTGTTGGACATATCTAGATGGGTTTTAGTTGTTTTCACAGTTATTCTTATGTTTATTTTTGTAAAGAGAAGTAGTTTTTACGGATGCGTTTTTTTAATTTGGTTATATCACTAATTTTAATGAACTTCCTTTTTCTTTGTACATTTAATGGTTTTACTGGTTTACAATATTCACGCAGAAAATTGTCTTAGTAATAATCTATCTTTGGTATGCAATTCATTTCTGTAAATTGTCTAATAATGCTGAAATATGTTTTCACTGAACAACATTTCATTTAGTAAATGTAAGTATTTGACAAATAGATACACAAATAATCAAGAAAAATTATCTTTCATTCTAGATACAGACAGATACAACATAGAACTTCGTACGTAAGTACATCAGTTCAGGTCACCATACCGCATTAGCACAAAGATGCAACTGTCAGTTCAAATCCAATAGTGTTAGCGATTGTAAAAGTATTAGCAGTAATTGGAGAAGATTAGGGTATAATTCAGTGAGATAAACTTTAGAAAGAGAAACACAAAGGTGATGAGTAATTCAGAAGGTTAGAATTTGAGAGAGCACAAAGAGTGGATGAATCTGCGACAACGAAAATTATTTTGAGCCATGAAATTCAACGTGTTGAACTATCGGTTACCATTGTCTCGCGCAGCCCAACCAGGTAGCCTATATCTACCAACATGACTCAGTCCACGTGTCAGTGATTTCACAGATTTGTGCCAAGTTTTGGTTTGGCCGCCCCTTAGTTTTCGTTCAACCTATTCCTACTTCTAAATATGTTCTTTTAAATTCAACAAAAGTTTGAAATAACTGGAATTATCCAATATTTCCCCCGCTCGTATTAAATAGCATGAACACAAATTTTTCATTCTGTACTTGAATATAAATGTTATGATTTATTATAGATATAGGAAAATTATTCTCAGTAAGTCTTACTTACACTAAAAAGCTGTATTCGGATTTCTTAATTTATTTATGGTGAATGAAAGACGTCATGAAAAATATCTTGAGTTAGAAAAAAACTCATGAACAGAATGAATCTTATATTGACTTATATTTTTTCATTACAAACAAACATTAGGAAAAGAAGCTGATTTGAATCATTAGAGAAACCTGTTTCTCTATGGGCAAATGAACCTATGTTTGCGTGTCAGTATAAAAATTAACACTGGAATACAAGTAAATCAAGTAAACCAGTGATCCAGAGGTTAGACGTTTGCGCACAAGACCGAACGTCCTAGGTCCGAATCCTGCGAGGTGCTGGAGTCGTGGATACGCACTGCCACTGATGAGTCTCATACCAAGAAGAAACGGCTGTCTTTGAGTGCTTCTAGAATTCTTCTTCTAATGGTGGTCTAATAGTGATCGATTCATGTTTTCGAAATCTGTAACTTACCAATTTTCACAACCCCGTAATGAAATCTAGGTTGTGTGAAGAAGTTTCAGGTAGACAGAAATGCATATCCTACTAACTACAACTATTATCCTTGATCCGATTTTACTAAGATCTAAAACTGCGAAACCACTGATTTCAAATGACTTGATAGTGTTTTTGAACATAGAAAAAATGAAACACTGACATGATAAAAAGCTGTCATAGAAAGTAAAAAAATATACACACCTACTTATTATCTATCATGATATTCGTTTTGAAAGTTTCTAAAAAAAAAACATTTTCTATTGACAATAGGCGATAAATTTCGAAATTATTGGAGAGAATCGAAAGAAAAAAATAGTCAACTTATCTTGTGATTTTTTGGTAATCTAATACACAATTTACAAAAAAATATAAAATTGAATACAGAATATGAAGACAATGTATTTTACAAATTCTTAAAATGTGTTTATTCAATCAATAATGATGAATGTTTGTCGATAGGAAAAAAAATTTTTATTTAGTACTCAACATTTTACAAATGCAATGATTGCAAATAATCTATCAAGAGGGTATTTCAAAAAAATGATATAATTTTCTCATTTCTTAACAGTAGTAGTAGTAGTTTTTCTTATTCACTGTTTGAGTTCAACATAGGCAATAATGATTTACTTTAGATTACTTACATACTTACTTACGCCCGCTACACCCGATGGAGCATAGGCCACCCACCAGTTTTCTTCAAAACAACTCTGTCCTGGGCTTCCCTTTTTACTTGAAATAGTCTTCTAGTCTCGCACAATGTACGAATGTTCCATGTACCAAAAAGAATGGTTGCTCTGGTTGTCAGAAGGAGGGAATTCGGCTTTCATCACGCAACGTCATAATTTTACTTCCAGCTCCTAGGACAGAGTTAAAATGGTTTGAATTATTTTTTCTGGTTAGCGTTTTCTTGGAAAGTTAGTTTTTTGACGGGATGGGGTCGTAAACCACATACCCAACCCCTCCTCCTTTATCCGCCGGGCTTGGGACCGGCAGTAGTCCCGAAGTTTTTACTGGCGGAGTTACTTTAGATTACTATTTACATATTAAATAGTTGAGTACACATGAATGAGTACACATTGTTTGTTTTATTAATATGAATCTCTGAAAAAAATAATATGTTTGTATGGTTTCATTCATTTTAGTCACACACACACAAAAGAAGAAGAAATATAAAAAAATTGAATTGAATTGAATTGACACACATTGAAAAATAACTCATGGTTGAATTGAAACGATACTCTTCTTCATCAACAGATACTGCTAGTGTTAGTGATTCACCAGAATCTAATACACCAGTGAATAAATCACCTAATAATTCTAAGGTAAGCGTTGATGATTCAAGTTTTTTGTTATTATTGTTGTATTCTCGTGATTTTTATGATTTATGTCAGTGTCTGTCATTAAAAAGTGTACCGAAGAAGTGTATTAACCTTATACAAGCTCTGAACTCTAACACCACTTGTCGGGGGAGAGCTTATGGTGAACTGATATTGGTGTCCATCAGGACTGTTCACTCTGTTCATTCTTGTTTAACTTTATCGTAGACATTCTTTTAGAGTCTGCATTATCCTCGTTAGATTCTTCAGGGGTGGACCATGTACCAGGAGGCTCGCTTATTGACCTGGAATATTCCGATGACATAGTTCTATTCGGTGAAGACGTTGACAAAATGCAGAGTCTTCTGACCATCCTAAGTAACAATGCAAGCATGTTTGGGATGTGGTTCTCACCCTCGAAATGCAAAATGTTGCATCAAGATTGGGTCGCATCGGTACTTGAACTAGTGATAGGGAGTGAAGTAGTCGAACGTGTAGACCGCTTCACTTATCTGTGGATTCTCATCAGTGCTGATGGCCTGGTGACTGAAGAAATCTCGGCACGGATAAAGAAAGCTCGATTGGCATTTGCAAACCTGCGTCATTTATGGCGGAGATGAGATTTCCGTTTCCTAACGAACAGTCGAGTGTACTGTGCAGCAATCTGCTCCGTAGGTTACTAGAATTCGATCACTGGTGTCTCCAAAGCATTGCTTGTGTATAATAGGACTACTGAGTAAGCAATGCTTCAATTGGGAAACGAGTACTAGTTAAGGATGGTAGGTCAATGGATGAAGTATTGAATCTTCGTCAGTTGAGGTGGTTGGGACATGTATTACAAATGCCCAACCACCAACTGCCTCGACGATCAATATTTCGTAGAGTAGGTTTAGGCTGGAAGAAAGTTAGGGGATGCCAGAAGTAAACGTGGTAGAAATCCATGAGGTCACTGACAAGTGGACTGCGTCATATTGGTAGATGCAGACTACATGGTAAGTGGCCGCGAGACGAAGGTCACTTATGATTAGAGACCTTCAATGACATGGCGCTGAATCGTTTGCAGTGGCGCAAAAGCATCCACTCTTTCTGTTCTCCCAAATCCTAATCTCCTGGATTCGTCAACACCTCTACCTACGTCTTTCTAAACTTATCTAACTTAATTATACTTCTTGAATAATATAATATCTTCGAATCCTAATCTTCTCCATTACCAGTAGTACTTAGACTATCTCTACCAATACGGGATTTGAATTGACAATTGCATCGCTGTGCTAATGTGGCACGGCACGCTGAACTGATGTACTTGCGTACGAAGTTCTGTGTTGTAATTGCCTGACTGACTGACTGACTCATGATTTATGAAAATTTCAAGGCATCAAACAATGGCTTTTACAGTTATTCTTATGTTTTTTGTTTGTTTGAAAAAATTGCACTAAAGTTATGTTTTTTCAGAGAAGTAGTTATTCACAATATATATGCGTATTTATTAGCAATGAAGATTTCATTTTATTTGGTCATATTATATGAATTCAGATGAATGTTCTTCTTCCTTGTACATTTAATAGTTTTAACTTGTTAAAATAATCAGGCAGAAGGTTATCTTAGTAATTATCAGTCTTTGCTATGCAATTCATTTCTGTAAAATGACTAATAAAGCCGAAATGCGTTTTCACTGAATAGCATTTCATTTAGATAATGTAAGTATTTGACAGATACAACACAGAACTTCGTATATAGGTACATCAGTTCAGGTCGCCATACCTCATTAGCACAGAGACTCAACTGTCAGTTCAAATCCAATAGTGCTAGCGATTGTAGAAGTATCAGCAGTAATGAAGAAGATTTGGGTATAATTCAGTGCGATGAACTTTAGAAAGAGAAACACAAAGGTGATGAGTAATTCAGAAGGTTAGAATTTGAGCGAGTACAAAGAGTGGATGAATCTGCGCCAATGAAAACTTTTTTTGAGCTGTACCATTCAACGTGTTTAACTATCGGTTACTAGTATTTCGCAGGCCCCAACCAGGTAATCGACAACTACCGACATGACTTAGTCCACTTGTCAACGACTTCATGAATTTCTGCCATGTTTTAGTTTGGCCGCCCCATAGTTTTTGTCAAACCTATTCCTACTTCTAGATATGTTCTTTTAAATTCAACGAAAGTTTTATATAACTGGAATTATCCAATATTTCCCCCCGCTCGTATTAAATAGCATGAACACAAATTTTTCAATCTGTACTCGATGTGAATGTTAAAATTCCAATGTAGACTTAGCAATAACTATAACTGTAACTTAATATTCCTTTTTTTCATATTCCAAATCTATGGAAAGCTATTTTAAAGTAAGTTTTACTTATCAAACAGTGTAATGATCTGTTAGACATAATCTACAAAGAGTCACACTGTTCATTGTTCAATGTCAAATTGATAAAAATATTCGAAAAATATTCTAAAAAAATTTTTATCTACATTTAGTTTTCATGTTATTTCATTGAATAGTTAGTTAGTTAGTTGTAGAGACTATTGAATCGGAAAAAAACTTTATTTTTAGTTCAAACAATCTTTTATATTTCAGTAATATTGAATGATAGATTAAATGACATGAAAAACATATTTCTATCTAGAGATATGTATTTCTGGAAAGCTTCATGTTAAAATATTGGCCTACTCTTTGAAATATTTCTGTTTCAATCCTAAAAATGATAAAAAAGTGTTTTTTTCACAATAGTTTAAAATAAAAGTCTACTTTCAATTAAATTCGATATTTTGCAATATCGCCTTGACACACTGAAGTACGTTCCATCATTGGTGATGATTGGTTTGTGTCCAATATATAACATGGTGCAATAACACAGCTATGTGTGTGTTTGTGTCTTATAAAGCATTTTTACACATTTGAAATAATCAATCAAAAACTCTGCCCCAAAATATCGTAACAGTGCTCACTAGTGACTAGCTTCGTGAGAAATCTTCTCGGAGTTCTAGTTGAGAAGACGTGACTAATGGAGTTCAACCCTGTCGGGTGTAGGCAGTAACTACCAAAGACGAATTGGGTGAGGTCGCGCAAAATCCGTAGATCAGTCAGAGTTAGACATTAACACCGTTGGATGCCGGCCCAGTGGTCCGATGGTAAGGCGTTCGCCTACAATACCGAAGGTCCCGGGTTCGAATCCTGCGAGGAGCAGGAGTCGTGGATGCGCACTGCCACTGACGAGTCCCACACCAGGACGAAACGGCCGTCCAGTGATCCCAGGTTTCTATTGGTGGTGATTGATGATTTCAAATGTTTAAAAACGCAAACCTCCAAAAACTCTGCCCCAAAATTATAAAGCATTGCCAATCGAAATCTACGAACATCATCTAGGAAGTGCAGCTATTAATAATTTGAACATTTGTAAAAATCAAGCATATTATTTCAGCACATTTTATAACATAATGTCAATAGTTTCAATGATATCAGATGATAATGCTAGTGTCCAAAGAGTCATTAGAAATTCATTTAACGTTATAAACTGCAATTTCCGATATCATAGCGTAGCTTTAAAAAAATTAAACCTCTCTTTCTATATACATAATATATATATATATATATATATATATATATATATATATATATGTTTTGGAAAATGTTTATATTTTTTGTAGAGCATCGTATAATACTGTCAAATAAAGTATTAGGAAAATTCAGTTTTTGTGGTAAAAAAACAGCTTGAACAAAGATTAATCAACCGAAATCTACGAATATTTAGGAAGTGAGGCTCTCAATAATTTGAGCATTTATGAAATCAAGCACATTATATATTATTATAAATAGTATCAGTGACATCACATGACAATGCCGGATATCTGAATCATTGCTGCGTAACATAAAGAATTGTTACACATTTTATTCTTGAAGCCATCAATCGATCAATGTTAGACCACCATTAAAAACCTGCAAGCACTGAAAGACGGGCGTTTCGTCCTGGTATGGGACTCCTCAGCAGTACACATCCACATCAACACCATTAGCTACCGGCTCAATGGTCCGATGGTAAGGCGTTCGCCTATAATACCGAAGGTCCAGGGTTCGAATCCTGCGAAGTGCAGGAGTCGTGGATGCGCACTGCCACTGATGAGTCCCATACCAGGACGAAACGGCCGTTTTTCAGTGCTTCTAGGTTTCTAATGGTGATGGTCTAACATTGATTGATTCATGGTTTCAAAAAATGTGTAACGTAACAATCTTCACAACCCCGTAATAAAGAATTGTGATAAGTACAGCTCAAAAGTTCAACCACACTAACAAATATGAGTACTTTTTAGTTAGAACGGAACAAGCATTCAATTCTATCAGGTTTCCAACATTCCTCTATTCGCTTTCGTTTAAAAAAATAGATGTCACTATCAAATTAAACAGAAGTTCAAATTTCTGAACTATGCAGTTCTAGGGAAATTAGCTGACAGTTTCATGACATTTTTCTTGAAAATCATTATATTTTTTAATTGAGATATCAAAATTATGTTTATTTAGAAAATTCTAATTCTTGTTTGTTCTTAAAAATCAATAATTATTTTTCTTTATTTATTGAGAAAAAAACTGTGGTGGTGTTTTGTTCCCTGAGCTGCGGATGTTTTAGTTGTGGAGCTGTCATTGTTCTTCTACTGAACACAACATCATCAGCACAAACAAAATAAATTGCTCAGACTGTGTAAAACACTACATAGGACAAAATGGACGATTTCTTCAGCTCCGTTTACGTGAACACCAGTTAGCAGTAAAACGCTTCGCTTATATCAATACACATCGACAATTATGGACGCACATTCGATTGGGACAAATGTGGAAACACTGGGTAGGGGTAGGACAAAGAACACTAGGGAATTTTTAGAAGCTTGGCACTCAGGTCAATCAGCAGTTAACAAACACATAACCATTGACCCAAATTATCAAACATTCAGGAAAATCATAGGTTAGACGTTCGCCTACAATACCAAAGGTCCTGGGTTCGAATCTTGCAAAG